TACATTCACATTGTTGTGCAAGCATCACCATCATCCATCTCCAGAACACTTTCATCTTCCCCAAACTGAAACTCTGTCCCCATCAAATACTAACTCCCCATTCCCTACTCCCTCTCTGCCGGCTGCTGGTGACCACCCTTCCACTTTCTGTCTCTGTGAATTTGACTACTTGAGGGACCTCATATAACTGTCTCCTGTCTCCTCATACAGTATTTGTCTTTTTGTGACTGGCTTATTTCACTTAGCATAATGTCCTCAAGGTTCATTCATGTTGTAGCAGGTGTCAGAATTTCCTTCCTTTTTAAGGCTGAATAATATTCCATTGAATGGATAGACCCCATCTTGTTTATTCATTCGTCTGTTGGGTTGCTTCCACCTTTTGGCTCTTGTGAATAACACTGCTGCGAACAAATATCTCTTTAAGCCCCTACTTTCAATTCTTTTGTGGATATATCCAGAAGTGGAATTGCTGGGTCATATGGGAATTCTATGTTTAACTTTCTGGGGGACCGCCATACTGTTTTCCACAGTGGCTGCACCATTGCACATTACATTACGTGGTTGTCGTGCCTCCAGTGAGGGGTGAGGGGTGAAGGGGAAGGTGGGATAGATTCAGAGGCTGAGCAGCAAGGCTGTCATCTGAGGTGCTAGGGAGATGTTGGTACCCAGACTTCATCCACACTCCCTCAACTTTCCCCAAGCAGTTCAGTGTGGAGCCATCTCTGCAGCCCCTGTGCCCCCAGGATGGGTCCTGTGGGAGGCCTCCCAGGGCTGGCCAGGACCTCTGCACACTGTGCATGTCAGTATGTCAGTGGCTGGGTCTCGTGAGAGATGGGGACAAACCAGAGAGCTCATCTGTGTGCAGAGGCCAGCCCAGGCCCCGGGACTCCAGGCAGCACTTCTGGCGGTCATCTCTCCCCAGCCCTGAACTCTGCCCTCCCCCGCAGCTGCACCTCATTCTGGCAGGTGGTTGCAGGAGTCCAAGAGCCCCTTGCTTTCCAAAGACAGGAACCCCTTCTTCACCATTACCCCCTCCAGCTGGCCACCTGCTCATATGCAGGCAACTGTCCTCCTTACGCTGGCTGGACCGCACTGAACACCAACCAAAGGGTGTCCCCTCTCCCTCCCGAGGACCTGTCATCTCAGGGACTCGTGCCGGGCAGGGCCCGCTATGCCCAGAGGATGGCTTCCCCAGGAATCACATCTTGAGCTGGGCCGGGTAGCAGGCAATGCACTGCCACATATAGATGCTCCTGCTCACCAAGAAACACCCGGTTAAGTGTCACTTTCCTGTAATTATTTGTCTGGTTCTGCTAACTCATTCTGCTGTCCAAACAAGTCTTTCCCACTCTCTAAGCCTCAGTTTCCCTATCTATAAAGTGAGGAAGTGGACTCAAGTTTTCTGCAGTGCATTCTAGATCTTTCTCTTTGACTAAATGATTTGACTTTTTATTATTATTATTGTTTTTAGTATGATTTCTTTCTCACGAAGAACTTTCAAAAGGGCATTACTCACCCCGTCTTGCACAGGCTGGCACAGTGTGACCTGCTCTGAATGACTCAGGGTCACCCAACACAGTATGGTTCTTGATGAGCCAGTGCTGCTCTCCCTCCGGGGTGCTTGAGAACAGAAGGCTGGTCGAGTTATGAAGGAGAGGTTTGTGGCAGGAAGAGAGAAAAGAAAGGAACTAGCATTTGTAAACACTACTGCAGGCCAAGCTCTGTGCCCCCTGTATTAGCTATCCATTGCTATGTCTTAAACCCAGACAGAGTGGCTTAAAACAACACACATTTATTATCTCATATTTTTCTATGGGTCAGGAATCTGAGCACAGCCTGGCTGGGACGTTCAGCTTAAGGCCTCTCACTGTGATCAAGGTGCTGGCCAGGGCTGCAGTCTCATCTAAAGGTTGAGCTGGAGTGGGTCCTCTTCCAAGTTCACTCGCTTGACTGTTGGCAGGATTCAGTTCTCTGAGGGCCTCAGTTCCTTGCTGCCTGTCGACCAGAGGCCGTCCTCAGCTCCTTGCCATGTAGTCTGTCCATGGGCTGGTTTGCATGATGGCAGCTTGATTCCCTTGGAGCAAGGGAGAGACAAAAGATGACAAGCAAGGTGGAAGTCACAGTCTCTTTGTATCCTAATCTTAGAAGTGACAGCTCATAACTCTTGCCATGAGCTATTTTTCAGAAGCGAGTCACTAGGTCCAGCCCACACTCCAAGTGGAGGGGATTTCACACAGGAGTGGATACGAGGAGGTGGGACCATCTCACAGGCTGCCCACCACGCTCCACATCATGTAGGATTTGTTACCTTGAGATAAGGCTCAGAGACATGCCCTGATGTGTCCAGTCTAACTGGATGGAACCCAGGCTTACTGGCTTCAAGGCCCATGTTCTCCCACCTCTCTCTACTCCTCCCCCTGCACACTTAGCTGTGACTTTCGGGGACTTCAACCTTCAAGGCTTCCCGTCCCCTCTGACCTGCCACCCCATACTTGCTACATCAGACCTTCACTGCACACATGATTCTGAGCCCACACTGGCCTGAGGTAGGAGCCAGTGCAGCAGTCAGGGCCTCTCGTATCCCGTGGTACTTGCTGCATAATACATGCCATGCAGAGGGCAGCCTGCCCCGAGCACCTGCAACTCTGCGTGGGCTGGCTCTTGATCCACACCTTGAGGTGCTGGGGGCTAACAGAAACAGCCCTAGGCCCATGATGGACGGGAGCTGGAGGATAAACATTCCAGCTTCCTCACCCCTCAGGTGGACAACTCAGAGGCGAGTCCCTCGCCGTCACCCAGAGGTCCTCAGCAAGACAGCCTCAGCTGTCTGCCTCCACTGGCTTCCTCACCTTCCTTGTCTCCCACCCAGGCTTCCTGGGCTTACCTCCCAGGACAGGCTGAAAACACATACCACCTACCCCAAAGATATCCATTTCTTAATCCCTAGAACCTGTGACTATTACCTTATATAGCAAAAGAAAGTCTTTGCAGACGTAATTAAGTTAAGGATCTTGAGATGGGGAGATTATCCTGGATTATCTGAGTGGGCCCTAAATGCAACCTTCAGGCGTAAGGACCAAATGCAATCAAAAGTGTCATTATGAGCTGGAGGCAGAGGGAAATTTGCCACAGACAAGAGGAGAAGGTGATGTGAAGACGGACACAGCAATTGGAGAGATGTGGCCAGAGTCAAGCACCACCAGAAGCTGGAAGGGGCAAGGGACGAACCCTCCCCTAAAGCCTCTGGAGGGAGGGCGGCCCTGCCGACCCCACGATTTCAGCCCAGAGATTCTGATTCTCAACTTCTGGCCTCCAGAACTGTGTGAGAGTAAGATTCTGTTGTTTTAAACCACCGAGCTTGTGGTAATTTGTTACAGCAGCCACAGGTGACCAATATCCCTCTCAAATAGACCACCTGCACTGCAGCTCTGACTCAGGGTCTGCTACTGGGGGCGCCCCGCCTCCGACAGCAGGTGTGGGTCCCGGGCACGTGGGTCTTGATGGATGAGTTCTGGAAGGTTGAGGGTCAACAGGTCTGACCTCAGGGGCCAGGGGGCCCAGCTGTACAACAGGGGCTGAAGCCACCTCCCATGCTGGTCAGAAAGAATTCCCAGTTACAGGTGTCTGGATATCCCCAGCAGCTGGAAAAGGCAGGGAAGGATCCTCCTCTAGCGCCTTCAGAGAGAGCATGGCCCTGCTGACACCTGGATCTCAGACTTCTGGCCTCAGAACTGTGAGAGAATCAGCTTCGGTTGTTTTAAGCCACCTGGTTTGTGGTCGTTTATTATGGCAGCCCTAGGAGACTAACAGTCTCCATAGAAATTCGATGGCCAACTTCTACAAAGAGGGGCCGACTGAAAACACAAGGAGCTCAGTGGACTCAGGGAGAGAGAGGCAGTATTCTAGGCCTGGAGAGAGAGCACAATTCCCGCTCTCACGGAGCTCGCAGACCAAAGGGTGGACAGGTCACGACAAGGATCCTCAAGGCAACTCGGGGTGTTGTCAGACCGAAGGTGCTTCTGTTAGTTTCCTGAGGCAGCTGTAATGAAGCGCCACAAACAAGGTGGATTAGAACCACAGAAATTTATCGTCCCACAGTTCTGAGGCCAGAAGTTGAAATCAGGCTGTCAGCAGGGCCACGCTCCGCTCCATGTGCAGGTGCCTGGGCAGGATCTGTTCCAGGCCTCTCCCAGCTTCCTCAGACGTCCCCTGGCTTGTAGACGGCGCTCTCCCTGGGTCTTCACGCAGTCTTCCCTCTCTGGGTCTCTTCTCTTCACACGGTGTTCTTTTCATAAGGACCCCAGTCGTATTGGGTTAGGGCATGACCTCATCCTTACTAATTATATCTGCAAGGGCCCTATTTCCCAATAAGGTCGCATTCTGAGGTATTGGAGGTTAGCACTCCAACATACTAACTTTGGGGGGACACAATTCAGCCCACAACGGTGCTGACACCGGGCAGGAACAAAATACCCCCAATTACCCCCACCCCCAATTTCTTGCCATCCACCTACACGTGCCCTGTGCCTTCCCCCACTTTCTACCTAGGGAGGTTCTGTCAGTCTTCAAAGCACAGACATGGCGGCTGAGGGAAGAGAGAGAGGGAGCTGGTGTCAGGGGTGCTGCTGGGCGTCAGACTCAGGTGGCCTCCACCGACCTGCACAGCAGCAGCTCTGCTCTGCGCAGCGGTCCAGGGCCCGGGAGCAGGAGGACCTGCTGGGGCTTTATAGTGTGCCGCGCGAGACCCAGCATTCGACCAAGACCAGGCAGCCTTTCCCGGGACGCCACTGCCGGTCCAGCTCTGGCTTGCTCATCTCTATTTGATTACACTTATTACCCCGTGCTCTGGTTTCTTCTTCCCTCGCCTCTTGACCCGTGATGTAAGAGCTCCTTGAGGGGGAGATGGGAACTTTTCCCATCGAAGGTCTCCAGTGCATGTGAACAAACACATGGGGAGCCTCTGAGCCCATCAATGCATGGATGGAATGAAACGCACGAACACTGCAGGTTTCTTGTCTGTGACAGAATGGCCAGGACCGCTCCGGTAAGACGGTCTGGTCGGTCAACCACAGGAAAGGGCAGGGGATTCTGGCTGAGCTGGGCCTGGTGGGTGGCCCGCGTGGAGTGAACGACGTGGTGGATCCATCCAGGCTACAGTCCGGAATGGAGATAGATAAAGTCTGGGGAAGCCATGGTCCATGGAAATCAGACATCAGAAACAACTTAAGACGCTGATTTGGGGCAGCTCACTTCCCTCTGGACTCAGTTTCCCTTTCTATAAAGGAGGTGTTGGTAGTAAAGCTTGGTGCCTGGTGCACAGCGTGTCCAACAGATGGAACTTAGCAGTTGTAAGGGTCATCTGTGCTGACCGCCCATGATCTGTGGACCAGAGGACAGAGGTTCTGGGTTTCAAAGGCAGGGCCTGGGTCAGCACCTTGGGGAACTCCACCCCGGCGCTAAAGGTTGGGAGACTCAGGACGCTGGATGCTACTTCAGCTCCATCCTCAACCGAGAGCCTGGTCCGGCCATACTCAGATCTGAGAACATCAGGAAGTACATTGGTTGGCACACTGGGGAACCAGAATATTCTGGCAGCCTGGAGCAGTAGAAGGAATCCAACCAGAAGACACAGAGCTACTCATGAGGTCTTGAACTTGAGCCCCACGGGGGTGAGGGAAGCAGCTGCTCTTTCCACAAAGACCTGGGGGCTTTGGCAACGGCTGGCCTGCAGGCTGTGGCCCCAGGATTGGGGGTGTGTGGAGGTGTGTTGCCTGCTCCCCTCCAACCTCATCGCGGCACTGTTGAGTGGCTAGATAATTTATTGGCAAATTAATTTGTTCTCACCACTGTAGGAGGTTTAAAAGGTTGAAGGGTATTTTTCCCTCCTTGTCCCAACAAGGGAGGCAGCTGATCACTCTGAGTCTGGATGCTTCACCTCATGGAATTGTTAGGAGCCGTGGGTCCCAGAGCTGAAAGCCGAAGCTGAGAGAACCCCAATGTCAGCGCTCACCCAGTCTGGGTCTGGGGGTCTGGAGCCGCAGACAGAGGCTGATTCGGGGGTTTGACAAGGCAGGAGTGGCCCGCCGGGCCCTGCAGGGGGAGGGGGAGCTTGCCCAGGCCAGCGGAGGGTGGGATGGGAGAGTTTCTGAGAGTGGCTGAGCCCCAGTTGTGCAGAGCATGGGACTCAGGGGACCCAGGAGACGCCTGGAGACCAGCTCCTGGGGATGAGGCCACAAACGCGGCAGACTGCTCCCATGGCCGCTGGGCTCAGAGGGGAGGTGGACTGAGGTGTCTCCAGATTGTATCAATGGAGTCAGTGCTTGAAGAGGCGGAGGCCAGCCTGGCCACAGCAGAGGCCGGCCACTACCTGTTACCTGCCCCCACGCCACCCCTTTAGGAAAGGGCTGGGCGCTTCACACACACACACATACACACACACACACACACACACACACACACACAGTGGAAGATCTAGTTTGATTTGGAAAAATAAAGCAATACAATATCTTGAACCTAAGTGTTGTAGACTAAATGTGTTGCTTCCTTGTTCACTGTTTTTTTTTAAAACTGTCGTAAAATACACATAACATAAAACTTACCAACCTAACCATTTTTTAAAAAATCAATTAGTTAAAAAATTTTAAATTGTGGTAAATACATATAACATAAAATTTACTACCTTAACCATTTTTAAGTGTACAAAAAATGCACAACATTATTGTTCAAAAGATCTCCACAACTTTTTCATCTTGCAAAACTGAAACTCAGTAAACAACTCCCCATCTCCCCTCCCTCTGCCCCTGGCGCCCACCATTCTACTTTCTTTCTCTATGAATCTGACTACTCTAGGAATCTCACATAAGTGGAATCATACAGTATTTGTCCTTTTGTAACTGGCTTATTTCACCAAGCACAATGTCCTCAAAGTTCATCTATGTTGTAGCAGGTGTCAGGATTTCCTTCCTTTTTAGGACTGAATAATATTCTATTGTATGGATAGACCACATTCGGTGTATCTATTCATCTGTCAAGGGACATTTGGGTTGCTTCCACCTTTTGGCTCTTGTGAATAATGCTGCTATGAACATGCATGTGCAAATATCTGTTTGAGTTCCTGCTTTCAATTATTTTGGGTATATACCCAGAAGTGGAATTATTGGATCATATGGTAATTCTGTTTTTAATTTTTTGAGGCACTCATCCACTTCTTACGTACATTGCCATTTATGAACTTGCAGGGGAGCCAGGTGCATGCAGGGAAAAGTCTAGCATTTTTTCCAAAGGCATCAGCAGCATGGCACAGGGGCTGCGGAGGTGTGTGAGGCCTGTCCACCTTCTTGCTTTCTTCAGGCATTGCTGGCAAAAGCTGACACTTTGATATCATCAAATTTCCAAAGGAAAGAAGAAAGGAGCTTTGATGAGGAGGCAACATGTCGCAAAGGCTCCTCTAGAGAAATCTCAGGATGTGGGGAGGGAGAGAGTGGGAGGGGAGCTGCCTTTGCCCCATTTTGTACAATTCAGGTCCTGAAGCTTCACCCCAAATGCTGGTTTGCAGCTATTGAGATCCACCAGGCAGGAGAGGAAAAAAAATAATTCCATTTTTCAAGTGTGGCTTAATTGGGGCGAGAACTCAGCTCTGTGCACAGGGAACACATGTTGGTGACAGCGCCGTATTTCACGACGCATGGGCAGCACCCCTGTAAAGCACATCAACTTGAACCGTCTGGACTCAGAATGGCTACTCTCATCCACACGGGCCCCCGTGGGATGTCTACTCAATCCAATTTTTAAGTGGAAAAAAAAGGCTTGGTGGCATTTTTGCTGCAGAAAATTATCACCAACTTGCCGACAGTTTTAGAGAAAATCTTCCAATTGATACAAGATGTCAAAGTTTCAGAGACGACAGGGACAGATGTGTGTGGTGGGAAGAAGGGCCAATAAAGATCAAGGAGACCCCACCTGCGACACAACCAGCATCATAAAGCCTGTCTGGTTTCAGATTTTAAAAATCTGTGTGGAGAGTGGGAGAGCAGCAGAGACGTGGTCAGGGGACGCTTTCCAATCCCTTTGTGCCTTGCAACGAATCTAGTTCACCAGGAAACCTGGCACCTCTCTCTTCTGATCCCTCTCTCAGGCCACTGGGAGGGTCCTGAATGGAGTCCAGAGAGCCTGCCTCTTGCTTTTGGAGCAGTGCCCTTCCTGGGTGGATGGTCCTGAGGGCCTCCGGGGGTGTCTGGCAGGAAACCTCGACAATAGGCTCAGGTCAGAAAAAGAACAAAGTCAGAGGGGCAGAAATTGCCTGCCTGCCTAGTGACCCCATGGAAGGAAACATGGGAAGGAGTTTTAAAGGCATCTCCTGCTCGAGCGTCATCCCTTCCCCTTCAGTGATGTCAGTGTGAGGTGGCACGGAGGCAGGGCAGTGACACCAGGCCCCTGACATGGGCGGGAGGTTCTACCGACGCTCCACCACTGGCCTTGGTGTTAGCTGGAGCCGTGGGGCAGCAGGCCTGGGATTCCCGCCTCAAGGGCCATTTAGCCCATCGTTGAAGATGGTAAACCAGCTCAGCTGAGCCAAGCCAGAGAGCCAGGCTTGCACAAGGCCGCAAGCTGAATTACTTCCTCCCTGGAAGAATCGACTGTGGAAGCCCAGGATGGCTTCCTGGTGGAGAGAAAGGCTGATTGAGGGAAGATGCTGGAACTCTGTCTCTGTTTGCCTTCTCAGCTGCCCTAAAGAAAGGAATCATGCTTGCCACTGCTTGTTAACCACTTTCAATGTGTCTGGTGGTCTCTATGCAGGATCTCACTTGTTGTGGACTGAATTATGTCCCCCCAAATTTGTACATCAAAGTCTTAACCCCCAGTACCTCAGAATGTGACTGTATTTGGAGATAGGGGCTTTAAAGAGATAATTAAGGTAAAAGGAGGTCATTAGGGTGGGCCCTAATCCGTTATGACTGGTGTCCTTATAAGAAATATTAGGACACAGATACCCACAAAGACAGGACCATATGAGGACACAGGGAGAAGACAGCCGTCTACAAGTCAAGCAGAGAGGCCTCAGGAGAAACTAGCCCAGCTGATACCTTGATCTCAGACATCCAGCCTCCAGAACTGTGAGAAAATAAATTCTGTGGTTTAAGCCACTCAGTTTGCGGCACTTTGTTATGGCGGCTCTAGCAAAAGAATACAGCATTTAATCCTCATAAGGGTCCAGGCCGGTAGGTGACATTAAGAATAGGGAGCAGGAGGCTTGGGGAGGTCGGGCCCTTGCCCGGATGCTGGAGCAGCTGGAGCCAGTGGTGGCTGCTTTCTCCCTGGGGGCTCCAGCAGAGTCAGTTTCTTTCCTGGGATTGTTCCAGGTTGGAGAGCCTGGATCAGCTGGGGTCTCCCTCTGCCTCGACCTGTGGCTGAAGGTCAGTTTCTCCTCTGGCTACACCCAAAAGCACCATCTGTGTCCTCGGTTACCCTTCAGGCTGGATCGATGCCTTTGTCTCTCAATTCCTCAGCCACAGGCAGCAAAAATGATAGCAGGGCAGGGCAGCCAGGCCAGGTTCAGAGCCAACAGCACTGCGCAGGGCAGGGAAACACCAGCCAGAGGGTCCCTGGAGAGTCCTGGACACTTGATGGCAGCCAGTGGCTTAGCTCAAAGGCAAGGGGCCAGCTATGTCTCATCCCAGTGTGTGTGTCTGCACTGCAGGCGGTGACACTACTATGGCACAGACAGGGCCCCTCTGCTGTCCAGCCTGAGCCACCTGCTCAGGAATGCCAGGCCGCTGGCTGCTTGCTATAAAAATTCCGAGCACTTAAAGCCCACTTTAGGAGTTTTCTATTCGTGTCATTTATAGTTCGCATTCATTTTAGGGTCCCCCAAAATCACCCCTGAAGAGCATCCAGCATGTTCAGCCTGCGTCAGCATCCCCACGACATCTACCTCCCCAGGAGCTCCCAACGTCTGTGTCTCCTTTCCAGAGACCTTAAAACCCATCAATAATCAATGCCCACCTGCGGAAGGGAAAGCAGGGAAGCCGTCTCCCCTCTTGGGTCGTGTTATTTACTGTTTGTTTTCCTGGTTGTTTCCCTTCGGCTTCCTGGAGACAGTGTCACGACGCACACGTTCACGATGCACTTTCTTTCCTGGGCCTGGATGCGGGGGTAAAGTCAGAGACTGGTGACGTCCCCCCAGAGAAGACAGCACATCCGTCCAGCTGCCCTGAGAATCCGTCGTAACACATCGGGCACTATTTCCTGGGTGGAGTTTTGGAATGGAAAAAAAATTGCTTAGGCATTCATATTTCAGTCAAGTGAGGGCTGTTCCTTCAGTCAAGTGAAGGCTGTAATACTATCTTTATTTTATTTTATTTTTTATTTTTTTCCCTTTTCCTCCCCAAAGCCCCAGTAGATAGTTGTATGTAGTAGTTGCACATCTTTCTTAGTTGCTGTACGTGGGACGCCGCCTCAGCATGGCCAGACAAGAGGGGCATCAGTGCACGCCCGGGATCCGAACTCGGGCAGCCAGTAGCGGAACATGTGCACTTAACCGCTGAGCCACCGGGCCG